TGGATAAGAAGCCATGGCTGTGACCTTAAACTGGCCCATCTGAATGCTGGGATAAGGCTACAGCCCAAGTAAGTGACATCGGGTGACAACCCAGAAACAGAGAATCTTAAATGTTGAAAACAAAATCTTTTTCTCTTATTCTCTTTTGTGTCTCAACTGTCAATCAAGCAGAAATTTAGAACCTGGATAAACAAGATGTGTTTTCTAAAACTGCCCTGCTTCCCATCTTCTCTTCTTGGCTCAGTATGACTATCAATAGCCGTATGGAATTGAATTTTATATATATATATATATATATATATATATATATATAAATACAGAAACACACACACACACACACACACACACACATTTAGGGATCACTGGGTAGTTCTGGCTGGCCTAGATTTCAATGTATAAATTGGACTGGCTTGAAGAGATGTATATGCCTCTGCCTCCAGAGTGCTGAGATTAAAGGCATGAAGCTACCACTTCTGACCTAGGAAATGTTTTTAACTGTACCGAGGATCACAGTTTGTTCTGGGCCACTACTCATGCCTAGAAACACGGATTGATACAAGGGCAGGGTGACAGCATTCTAATGCACCATCTTAGTGTTTTGAAACTTGGAGTCAACATATGAGCAGCTGTCCTGCTCTCCTGCTCTGGCTAGCACTATAGGCACACAGGGTCAGCAGAAGATAGTTTTTTCCATACTTATCAGCACCATGTCACAGTAATACATCAGCTCCCCTAAGGACAGAAGTGGTGTAAATTGTCCCAAGGTCTTATGCTCATGAGCTGGACTTGACTCATGCAGTTTACAGCAAAGTAAAATAAAATGGAGAACAGAATAGTCTCACTCTACTTAAGAAAGAACACGAAACTAGTGTCTTATCCACATTAATTTGTAGTACTGATAAAGCTCATTTTCCCTAAGAAGAACCATAAGCAAGTCATGTTGATAGTTACAAAAATATACACTGTTACATAAGCCTAATAAACTTAATAACTATGAAATAAATTGTTGTACAGATGTCTTTAGAGTCTACTCATATAAAACTATTTCTCCAGGCCACAATCAATTATAAATTGATTTAAATTACAGAGGATTATTATTTTTAGCAAGGACTCTACAGAAGAACCCAGGTTATTAATTTTACAAGTATCTTCAGGATATAGTGCATACTTAAATGTTACATTAATGTTAAGTGGGTATTGAAAACAAATGAGTTGAATTAAAGCGCTTCAAGCAAATTTTTAAAAAGTAACAGATTTTTACAGCCCTGAGAGAGATGATTAAAATGTGTGATGGAGGTAAGTGTAGTGGTACAAGTTTTTCATCACTTGGGAAGCTACAGCAGAAAAATCAAATGGTAAACATCATTCTTGAGTACATAACAAGTCTGAAACCAGTCTGGTCTATATGAGACCTTGTTTCAAAGATAGATAGATAGATAGATAGATAGATAGATAGATAGATAGATAGACAGACAGACAGACATCCTGTGGCTGAGAGGTCAGAGGCCCTGGGAGAAACCTATAATTGTCATGCTAAACACACATATTTTTGAACTGCCCTCTAAATATCTACATTTATATCCACACATGAATGCTGCTTCAGGCTTGATAGAGGTTTCTTTTTTAAAGTGCAAAGAGACTCATCACTAGCTAAAGACTGAAAATAAGTGACATTTGTGTCATCAACTCTATATATTTCTATATCAACTCCTCCACAGCTCTAGGAATAACCCCCATAGAAGGAGGTATAAAGAATGTAAAAGCCAGAGAATGGGAAGGCATGCTGTAACCTGCTGCCTTCTAGCCACGACAGTTTGTACTCATAAAATCACAGAAGTTCTGGGTACCTGCACTAGATATGCACAAGATTGGGCCAGCAGATGATTATATTGTACATATATAGCACTATATTCTAGGTTTTTGTTTGGTGTTTTTGTGTTTTATTGTTGTTTTCGTTTATTTTGTTGTTTTCTCACATCTCCCATGTACTCTCTTGCTAGGTTCCTTCTATCAACCCTCAAATTGCTTCTTCTGCTTCGATATTGTAAATATTCCACCCCCTTCTTGTTTCGTCCCATCTTGTCAGTTAGACCTCAGTTGGAGACAAAATTCAGCACTGTTTGTGATAAGAACCATAAAGGAACTATGAATATCGGGCAGATACCTCACCATGATAAAAACAATATACACGGGAAGCCTTTGTTATTCTAAAGCTTCTCATTATTCTACATGGGAAAACTCAAAATCATCCTAGTAAAAGTCAGGAATGAGACAAGGGTGTCCACTCTCATTCAATACAGAACTGGAAGCTTTATCTAGAAAAAGAAATCAAGAGAAAGAAATGAAGGAGCTACAAGTTGAGTAGGGGGTAGGGTGGGGGACTTAAAGGACCCGGTAGACTCCATTTAGTTTCGATCAATACCTTGAACAAAAGAGCAGACACAAAAATCAATATAGAAAATTAGTAGCTTTTCATATGCCAATAACAAATCAATAAAACAATCTCACTCACAATGGCCTTAACCAAACTAAACCTAGAAATAACCAGAGGTAGTGGAGGGCCTTTACACTGAAAAACGAAAACCAGGAAGACACTTAAGGAGGAAACTGAAGACTATCCTAGGTGATGGGAGACATCTGAGTGCTCATGGACCAGCAGAGTAGCTTCATCACCAAAACAGTCTACAGATTCAACACAATCCTTATCATATTTTCAATGTCACTCTTGACAAAACTGGAAAATACAACCCTAAAATACATCTCATGGAAGTACCTATGGTTTTGGTCATTGTTCATTGGAAGGAAAAGAGAAAAGGGGGAGGGGGAGGAAGGTGGAGGGAACAGGAAGGAAAAGAAAGGAAGAATGGAGGCAAGAAATGAAGGAAGAAGGAAGGGGAGAAGGAAAATATATACCATGACTATTGCTGCACAAGTTAAATCAGACAACAGAGGAAAGAAGCTAAACAAAGACCACACGCAATGTAACCCAAGTATGACATCACTTTCTGCAACTCGAAAGACCAAAGTGAATAACTAGGAGGATGTATTACAATTTCCAAGTTGAAATAATTTAAAAGAAAGAAAGAAAGAAAGGAGGGAGGGAGGGAGGGAGGGAGGGAGGGAGGGAGGGAGGAAGGAAGGAAGGAAGTTGTCTTAAGTGTGAGCACACAAGGGACATGGGTGTAGAACTCACAGTGAAGAAACAGACCATTCTGCTATGGATGAGCCCTGAGCACAGCATTGCATATTGTCAGAATCGTCAGATCACTGGTAAACTAGTATGACACAAAGCCCAAGCATTCTCGATGTCAACAGACTCCATTCACCAAACACCTGCAAACTGTGATTCACTAATATACCACAAAATGTTGGAATTTCCATGAACGTAGTATCTAACTCAAATCATTACTCTTTATTAGGACACTGAGACATTCTAATGTTTTGTTTAATGATGAGGAACATATTCTAATTGTTGGTTACCATGAGGAAGAGTAGAATGTCATAACTAGGTTTCCATAAAAATTGTAGAAAAGAAGAAAATGCTACAGAATGCCATTTCTGTTACCAATGAACCAACATAACATGGAGAAGTATCCCCATTACCAATGGAAGGGTAAGTGGAGAAGTGGTAAGAAAAAAGGAATCAAGAAATTCCATGAAAACTTTTTCTTAACAGATGTCAATTCATTCCCAAAACTATGGATCCTGATACAGAAAGGATTCTACTGAAGAGATGGGAACATTCATCCCGAATTCTCTGCTCATCAGCCAATCTATCGTAACAAAACCAAAACCAAAGTGGGCAAAGAACCATGGGCATGCTTCCAAACAAAGACCTTCTCTAGACAACGGCACATTTTGTGGCTCTGAAGACCGGCTAGTGGGTCAAGTTCTGTAAACAGAAGCCATCGATAGTGATGTACTCAATGGTAGTGTCTTCTTTTTTAACAAAACAATTTATGAAGGTCCAAAAAAGGTTTATCAAATGTGATAAAATGTCTGGAAACCTATAAAATGTGGATTAGACCATTGTTTTAAAGGTCAACTGTTTAAAAACAAATTTAATTTGCAAAATAAAAAGCTACAAGTTAAATATAATTAACTATAAAATTAAAAAGGTTTTGTTTGTTTGATGTTTGTTTTGGCTTTTCAAGCTAGGGTCTCTCTGTAGCCCTGGCTATCCTGGAAATAGCTCTATAGACCAGGCTGGCCTCAAATTGGAGATCTGCCTGCCTCAGACTTCCAAGTGCTGGGATTAAAGGCATGTACTACCACCACCTGGTTATTAGAAACACTTTTAAATTAAATTTAGAAGTGCCTAAGTGTGCGGTGTTTAAAACGCTACACTAGCACACAGTAATCATGCTTCATTCGCCTCTCCATTGCCAGTCCAGCAAATTTATCCACAAGAAGTGTGCCTTTTATGTCACACTTGCCTACTGATTCAGTGCAGTGACCTCCTGGGTACGATTCAGCAGTGTCTGACACACAGCCAAGGTCTGTGGTGGCCTACACTATGGGGGCTTATGAAGAACACTTAAGGCGTAGTTACCAAGCAATGTAATTCACAAGTTGCATCTCGGTCCCTGGAAGACACATGACTGTGCTTTGAAGTGCCCAAGCATCATGACACAAAATGCAGGTACCACTGTGCATCACAGAGGTATATGAAACTCTTGTGTCATCTGGGAATGTAAGCACTCACAATCTAGATGACTGTTCTCAAAATTAGAAGATTAGAGGGCTAAATTAATAAATAATTTAAGGCTTGACAGCTGGCCTTTGAACTAAATTTTGTATTTTAAACTAAGAGATAAAAGAAAAAGATGGGAGAAAGAAAAGGGAGGGAAAAAGCAAAGCTATGTTCAAGGAACTTGAACCTCAAAAAAAAGCAAATGATTTTCTTTTCATCTGATCTTCATTTATTACTATAGTAATTACTTAAAACCCTAGGAACATGAGAAATCTAAGAACACAATGCTAAAGTTATAAATACTGACCTTTGATACTAAAGGTTCCTCTGAACTCTTCTCCAAAGACACAAGAATATTTTCCCATTTGTTTGCTATTAAAAATGATGAACCTAGAGGGAATTAAAATTTATAAATACAAGCTTATTTCCCAAAATACTTAATAAAAATGAAGACAGCCATCAATCAAAATTTTAAAACAGAAATAATTTTTTGTAAACATAAAAATTAGAATATTGGCAGAAGGTTTAAACGATTGCAGAAGAAAAATGCTTAGTGAAATAGAAAGACGTTTAAACTGGCTGTGGCTGGCGCTCTGCATTCTAATATACAAACCTGTACTGACTGGATAAGGTGTTCCCCATCTTAGTTGTATTGAAACCATCAGTGATCCCAAGAAGCTCATCATCCTTCTTCCAAGTCACATTCACTGAGTTCAAATCCCCAGTGGCCGTGAACGTGCATTTGAGTTCCAGGTAAGAAGGCCTTTCCAAAGTTATGTTTTGTTCTACTGATACACGGGACTCTTCTGCTCAACACAAAAGAACAAGGAATTATGTTATGAACATTACATGTGTAGGCAAATTCACTACATAAACACACACACACACATTTTATAAACAACGTATCTCCTATACTTTTTTAGAGGGTTTTATTTATTTTATGTATATGAGTACACCATAGCTGTCTTCAGATACACCAGAAGAGGGCATCGAATCCCTTTACAGATGGTTGTGAGCCATTATGTGGTTGCTGGGAATTGAACTCAGGACCTCTGAAAGAACAGTCAGTGCTCTTAACTGCTGAGCTATCTCTCCAGCCCTAACTACAGAAACTTAATGCTCTTCATTCTGGTTCTCTTCCTTACACTCCTTGATAAGCAAAGTTGAAGAAAAGTTTTCTTGCAATTTTCACAGAGTCACAGAAGCCTAAGGCTGTCACATCTGTCTCCTTTAATTCTCAATAGCTGAACGACACAGAGGAAGAGCTACCGAGGCGTATACTCCAAATGGTAGACCGCACACTGGCAGGGTCAGACTGAAGCACAGATTTAATACTGCTCATTAAGCATATAGCTTTGGCAGTTATGACAAGATGTGAAGATTGAACTGTCATTCTCCGTCCTCATAAAACCACAGAGAACTGTTGACTATCCTGGGCTTTTGAATTTCCGTATAAAATTCAAGATTTTTTTTTCAGTTTCTGTGAAGAATTGCATTTGACTTTTGATGGGGATGGCATTGAATCTGTAGACTGTTTTTGGTAGGGGAGCCCTTTTCACATATTCATCCTACTAAACCACATGTGTCGGAGGTCTGCTGATTTCCCGGCATCTTCTTGGATTTCTTTCTTCAAGGACTTGAAATTTTCATTGTATTAAAGTGGTTTGCTTCATGGGTTGGATTTAGTCCAAGCTATTTTAATGTTTTTTTGTAGGTTAACGTTAATGATATTGTTTCCAAGGTTTTTCTCGATGTGTTTATTGTCATTATGTATAAAGACTACTGATTTGTTTGTTTGTTTGTTTGTTTTAATTTTGCATCCTGCTACATTGCTGAGTGTGTTTATCAAGTGTCATTTTCTGGCAGTCTTTTTATGGTCTTTTACGTATAAGAATCGCATCATCTGCAAATAAAGACACTTTTGACTTCTTCCTTTCCTCCTCCTTATATCTCTTATTTCTTTCCCTTGATATTAATATGTACACACACACACACACACACAGACAACACAGACATCAAGGATTATGTTGAATATGATATGGGAGGGGGAATGGATGTCCTTGTTTAATTCCTTATTTTGGTAGAAATGATTTTTCTTTGTTTTTCTCTGTTTAGGATCCATGTTAGCAATAAGTTACCTCTGTTGGGTTGTAGGCCAGTAAGGTCACGCAGACCTTCAAATGACATACTATTTATTGCCATTGTTCTTGGTTACGATCCAGAACTTGACAGTAAAAATCTATTGCTAAAGACATTATATATTTGAATAATGGAATATGGGAGGGCAGGGAAATCAAGCTGGGACTGACATGGAAGCTTCACCCTAATCTACTGGCTAACTTTCATAGTGCTGAAGATGCTACGCAAAGCTACTGGAGGAGGGAAGAAATCAATCTGATCTAGCTGTGGGAGATGCTAGCTAAAATTACAAGTAGCCTGACAGGATATATCAACCAGTACAATAGTGCACAGATGTCATGAGAGTGACCATGACAAGATGTACAGATCACTGTTCAAAATGACACCTTTACTTGATGCCATTATCAAGCCCAAGAACCTGTGTCCACACACAGTTATAGGCTTTAGGTGAGAACTTACTACTATCACTCTGCCAATGAGACACAGCATATAAGGGTGGCTTTCTATGAATTCTCATTCTATTCACGCTGATGCAAATGATAAATATTCCACAAAGTCTCGGGGATTTAAAGATTTGGTCTCCAGTTGGTAGTGCTGTTTGGGCATGTACAGCCTTGCTGGAGTTAAATACGTCACCAAATGTGGGCTTCGAGACTACATCACTGTTCTTGATCCCATTCTAAATCTCCCTGTTTCCTGACTACAAAGAGGTGAGCAAATTCATTCCAGCATATTCTTCTATTATGATCTTCTGCCTGACTGATCTAGAAACAATGGAGCCAAAGAACCATGTGCTGAAACCTCCCAGACCTGAGGCAAAATAATTCCTGCCTCTTTCACGTTGTTGCTCCAATACATTTATCACAGAAATAAATAAAACTCTAACATACTAATAAGAATATACATAGATACTCCTGAAGTAGTCCAGAATAATAATAAAATACAAAACTTATTTTTAAGTGAAAAGGGTTTGAGTTCCTGAAAGTTCTTGATGCCCGAAAGTTCCCTTCCTCGGGGCAGGGCGGGTGAAGGAACACTCAGCAACAGGGAATTCTTGCACCATGTCTGAGCCTATATGGTCATAAAGCTATCATGTGTCTCCTACAGGTGATTTATCCTTACAAAAGGTCATTTTCCCCTATTCACATAAATAGTCTTTCTCTCCGCTCCTGCTATAAATAAATGCAGAGAAAATTGTGCTAAGCAAAATACCAAGCACAAGAATTTAAATTCAACTTTAATTTCAAATGGCTTATTTGTGTGAGATAAAAAAGGAAAGTTGATTTTATACAAGAACAGAGTATAATAGCATCCCAGTTTGCTTTCTGTTGCTTTGATAAAGCTTTCTGACCAAAAGCAACTTGGAAGAGAAACAGTTCATTTGGCTTATATTACATTCAACATCAAGGAAAGCCAAGGAAGGACCCAGGTAAAAAGTGAAGCAATGACCTCAGAGGAATGCTGCTTACTGGCTTGTAGACTCTGGCTAGCTCAGCTTGTTTTCATATGAAATCTAATACCAACCGTCCAGGGGGAACATCACCCATATCAATAATCAATGAAGACAATGCCCTACCGGTATACCCACAGGCCAATCCAAAGGAGGCCATTCCTCAACTGAGTTTTCATCCACTCTGGTGACTCTAGTTTGTGTTAAGTTGACAAAAAATTCAATAGTGCTATCAGGCTAGGAGGGGAGGGCAAAGGACAATTAACAGGTACGGGGTATGGTTAGATAGTCTAATGCTCCAAAGGTCAGGATGGTAAGTACAAGATACAATTAACTGTTCATTTCAAAACAGCTAGTGGATTTCGGATGTCCTCAAAACATATGTTTGAAGTGATGGATTCATGGATTTGTAGATTACTTGATTTTCCTGTATTTTAAAAAGGTCTCTTAGCCGGGCGGTGGTGGCGCACGCCTTTAATCCCAGCACTTGGGAGGCAGAGGCAGGCGGATTTCTGAGTTCGAGCCCAGCCTGGTCTACAGAGTGAGTTCCAGGACAGCCAGGGCTACACAGAGAAACCCTATCTCGGAAAAAAAAAAAAAGAAAAAAAAAAAGAAAAAGGTCTCTTAAAAGTCCATATTGGGGCTGGAGAGATGGCTCAGCGGTTAAGAGCACTGACTGCTCTTCCAGAGGTCCTGAGTTCAAATCCCAGCAACCACATGGTGGCTCACAACCATCTGTAATGAGATCTGATGCCCTCTTCTGGTGTGTCTGAAGACAGCTACAGTGTATTTACATATAATAAATAAGTAAAGCTTTAATAAAAAAAAAAAGTCCATATTGTATTGAAGAACATCTAGGGCAGCTGACTTTGGATGATTAGAACCTCATTTATCCATTTGCATTGATGGTGTTTTGTAAATCAAAAGTCAAAGTTATTCAGGGCTACTTTTACTTCCTCCAGTACTCATTTACTGTCCACTATTACATTTGATCTAATATCTCTGTGACTTCTAGATAAAAATCTTCGGTGTACAGCAAATCTTAACCCATTGCCAATATCTACCAATTTGATAGCTAAGAATACAACAATATTAGCCCACCTTGCTCTGATACAGTCCCTAGCTAATGACTCCACTAATGTACAGAGTAATTATCCTGGCTTGTGGCTTTTTTTTTTTTGTGATTGCAGAAATTTACATAACTTCTTTCACTAAGGAATACTTCATTTAGGGTAACTGGAATCTGTATTCTGAGGCACCACTGTCTCTCATAAGTGCCTCAAAAGAAAAGTATTCCCTTTAAAGCAGAGTTGTTCCTTTTGGATTGACAATATATATATACAAAAATATCTCACTGAATTGTCTAAGTTGTATGATTATTGTTTTGACTAATATTTCCACTTCTAAAAAAGATTACACATAGTACCAATCCTAACTGTTCCCTTGTCACTTTTTCCCAATGACTACTATAACAATAATTAAACCTATCTTTCTTTAGCAATCTGTCCTTAGTTGGTTTAATTCCAGGGGCCTAAGGAAGTAAAGATCTTCCTACCCATAGATCTGGCTACAAAGAAGAGATGAATGGGTCTCTTGACCAGTCCTGCTCATCTGGAGTCTAACTGCTAAGTCAAGACCTCAGAGCAAGGACAAGTCGGACGCAGCGGTAGGGAAGTGCTTCAGTAGTATAGCCAGTCAGCATGTGGAACTCAGATATCTATTTGCCAGCAAGAAAGCTCCAGTAAAAATATCAAATAATGGGCTGGAGAGACGGCTCAGTGGTTAAGAGCACCGACTGCTCTTCCAGAGGTTCTGAGTTCAATTCCCAGCAACCGCATGGTGGTTCACAACCATCTGTAATGGGATCCGATGCACCTTTCTCGTGTGTGTATGAAGATAGCTGCAGTGTGCTCCTATAAATAAAAAAATAATAAATTTCTAAAGAAGAAAAAAGAAAATATCAAATAATAATAAACGTGAATCTTACTTCCAACTATGCCACTGACTAGCCAAATGAGAGGGGGAAGAGGACTTTCTCCTTATTGATTCTTAGCAAATCAATAAGCAAATCAAATACCCACTCAACACCAGTCAAGACATTCTGCACCAGCCACTGTTGCCACGTCAGACAGAGACCAGGACTACCCATGGTGCAAGAGTACCCACCTGTCCGCCACCCAAGTCAACACCTAGGAGGAAGCTGGAGGGAGAGTGGAA